CTCACAGAGTATAGAAGCCAAAGAATTAATGTGTACGACTCTACATAACAAACCTACCAATTTTAACCATTTATCATTTTCACTCTTGACAAGTGTTGCAGAATTCATATCTAGCAAAATACTCCACTGGCTACTCATGTTTTTCCATAAACAGTATTCTTTAATTCCCATGTCAATTCCTGTAATAAATGATCTATTAACAGATTTTGTTTTTATGAACTGCAGAGAAGAACTGAAGAGTTAAAAACGGATCAATAAATACTCTCTGAATATTAAATCATATCTTAATGCTCATAGAATATTGGCTGAGGGTCTATCTGGATATTATTTGTTCAGAAGGCAGATTTATGCCTTGTGTTGGATCGAAGTGAGCAAAGTGTCTTCTTTCATCTTCGACAGCAGGGGCAGATACATATCAGTGACAGAAAGAACTAAAATCCAAGGCCACTAGTCACCAACTTTACCTCCTGTAAATTGAATGCTGATTCTATTTATATTTGGTTTGATTTACACCCAGTTTCCTCCATGCAAGTGAACAGGAAACAGATGCTAGGAATTGTTCTGTCCCTGAATTCCTTAGAGAGAGATTCTAGTCAACACCAACGTGTGAGATTTGCTTTGTACTTGCATGCGAAAAGGTAGTAGACGGTGACTAAATTGACTCCCTGGTTTCCCTGCTCTGAATGTCCATTTCCTCACAGTTTCCACTTGCGTATGTCCGTCTGCCCAAACCCAGGTTATGGCAGGCAGGCTTCCCTAATGGAGTCATGGAGCCAAGTCTACGATTTCTCAGGACAAGGTCAACCGTAACGCCTCAGGCACCAACAGCAGTGGGAGGTAGCATTTGTGGAGAACATTAGAGTTCATAACAAAATTTCAGTGATAAATGATAAGGCGAGGCAAACCCATATGACTTCCGTGGCTAAGAAAAAATGAAGCAAATCCAATTGCAATATATTATCCCCTGTAAATCTGCTAAAAGATAGTGAGCGGTGCTCTAAATGAATCATTTTGCCACAGTCTCCCTAAAGTATGCTTTCGCTGTGCAACAGCTAATAGGTGAATAATAAAAATGTGTTCTCCATAATTACATTAATTATGCAAACAAATAGAAACACACAGCAATAATTAAGGCGTTAAGATTATTGCGGATGATCAAGCACCCAGACATGTGACACAAGGGGAAAATAGTAATTTAGTATCGAGGAATATTGTTTGACATTTACAAGGTGATATGATTTGAAAATAAAAGGCTCTTCTTTTCATGGACCATGGCGCCATCTAGAGGACACTGAAAAAAACTAACCAGACTCAACATGGCCATCATTTGAGAGGTTATATTCTAGTTGGTGGGACTATTTGCGCTGAGAAAATTCAGTTGAGCAAATGTGGTGTCATTATAGCCTAGTAAAAAGTAACTCATTTTCCTCAGGCTTTGGGTGTTTGTGTGCATGTGCGCGTGTGTGATGCATTGTGTGAAGCATTATGATATGGTGCCACCTACTGTTAGATCCCTTGCCATATGATTGAAATAAAAGCACAATCCATGCGTATATCCTGTTGATAAGATCAAATTAAAGTGAGACAAAGGTCAGCTGTACAGTGTAATATTACACGCCGCAAGAGAGGTTTTGTGTACGATGTGTGCTCCCATATTCTGTGCCACCAGATGAGAACAAAGGGCAAAAGGTTACAGTCATGTCATCCCTCACCTCACATATGATTTGCAACCGCTGGCCCCTCCCTCACTCAAGATTTATTGTACATTAAATTTCTGCTGACGTTGTTCTGCTCGGCCGCTCCTTAGATATATGGCAAACCATAATTTGGAGGTGTAAAAATGGGTATAAAACCTGTATTAATTATTTCATTGTGGTTCTACAGTAAGTGCTGTCTTTTAGCCCAGACGAGGATGTCATCCCCCTCTATTTCAGCAGATCATTATATCACTCATTTGTCAGAGGCTAAATTACAATCGAGGCCAGTGCTGTACTGTTGTATGGTAAATCAGGGAAAACCAAGACTTTTTTATTGGTGTCATTAACTAATACTTTTATTCATTTTTTACTTTATTTGATGTAAATTAGCTGATAATTGCATTTAAATCTCTTTTTTCTAGCAGTGGACTGACAGCCTGGCCTATTGCTGCATTAAAGACCCCAAACTACAGTGATAAAACAAAAGCTGCAGGTTTTCGCTGGCTTGTTTCTTGAAATGGCATGAAAACAAAAAGCAGCCACAGTAAGCACAGAGACTGGAAGTGCCCATGACGGATAGCAGTGTGTGGGACTTGTGATATATCTTTGTGTCGCGGGGCAGTTAGGTACAAAGACTGAGGGGTGTGATCAACAACCAAACAAACACACTGTCCTGAAGCGAGGGCGAGGAAGTGTACACAGAGCATCCATCACACCACATCTGTGAGCGGCCGATACTGTTCTGTTTAGTCTCACTAACCCACTACACTCAGATCATGCCCCGCTGCCCTTGCAGGTCTCACATGTAGTTATAAAATTATGGCATAATTTATCAGCCTTGCAGCAATAGTTGCTTGTACAGCATCTCCAGCAAAGACATAATTAAGCTGAAAAAGTAACACAAAAAGCAACAGTTTCTCTAAGTACCAAGTTACATTCTAAATACTTTAAGTGGTGAAAGCCACATATCAACTGCGTGCATGCTATTAAGATGTTCTAAATAACACAAGAACTACTGAACTTCTCATTTACAACCATGCATTTCTTCCCCAGTCAGTAACTCTTAAAAATGACACGTAAACACATCATGATTCTTCTCATTCTGTAAATCCTTGCTCCTGCTGAGACTTTAAATGCTCTTGTGAGCAGTATCCAGATCAGTAGCTTGCAATTAAGAAGCAATGGCACACTTGACATGGATTACTCAAAAGCCGTTTTTTATTTGAAAGGGGTAAACACTGTATACCTAAATAGAGCTGAACCTTTCACTGATATCAGTTACTAACACTAGCTTGCAAAACGGCTGTTGTAAAATGGATCTCTTATCACTGAGACTGAAACATTTATGTCTCGGTGATAAGAGAATGTTGCCATTTTATTGTTGCATAGGTCAAGCGAATTTTATCTGCTGAATAAGCTCATCATATTCTGTATTATTAAGCACTGATTACAGTAGAAGTGTAATATGGTAGTAGGTTAAAGTACAAATATGTCAAAAATGTACTCTTGCATATAAACTCAGTATGTATTACTTTTCACAGTAGGTATAAGGGACTAACATGAGTTTAACAAATTCTCTGCTATTTATACCAATCCCTAACCATACTGTGGAAATATACTATACAGTGATAGATTTAATAAAATAGAAATTTGATTTAAGGACTATCAGTCTATGAATGCAACAAGTACAGATAAGTAAAGACAGATTCCGGTATGCTGTTGTTGTTTTTCCTGTAGTGCAGAATGATTTCTTCTAATGTGTGTTGCATCGTGCTTCTTGTTTGCTCCAATACAAACAGGAAAAATGTATTTAAAAAATAAAAGCATGGCATTTGGACAGTGTTAAAGACCATCTGCTCTACTTCAACGGTGGTGGACGGGGCAGGATTCACACTCATCTTGCTAAACAGGCATCTGCTGCAACCAGAAAATGTATTGACCTTTATTGTGAGCAGCACCATTACCACGCTGAAATAGTCCAACGGGGCCCAGTTACCAAAGCAGAAGATGATTTTTATATGTTCACACACAGCAAGACCTTTGCAATAGAGGTTCCAGCATAGACAACCTTTATTTATGTAGTTCCAAAAAAAGCAGGACCACTCTCAGTAACGTCAGATTTTTTTTCCCATAATTTACTGTAGACTGATTTTCCCCCATAGAAAAAAATCTGTGTTGTAATGCACAAAGAAACTGATCAAGTGTCTGAAAGCATACATAGGCTGCAGCAGGACAGAAGAAGCCAAACATGGACTGGCTCTTGAATTTGAACTATGGACCACTCATAAAAACTCATCATTAATAGTGTCAGTAAAACATTACCCTTTTTTATTGGGGCTATATTTTCCTCACATACTACAGTAAAGTTAATGACAGACATTGTCTAAACCATAAAACCGTCATATATTTGGAGATGCTGGTCAGCTTCACCAAGGCTTAGTAGCATCTGGCTCATAGATCATGCCTGTCCAATCAAGTGTTCTCGTAACACAGAGGAAACTTGAACTGAAAAGATGGCTTTATGTCTCATTTCCACACTTTCAACTGAACATAATTGTTATTAATTATTTTCATGCAGACATTTCTAAAACTTCTTTAAAGGTGTACTTTAAAAAAAACAGAAAATAGAAAGTTGTAAACATTCTGCCATTAAAATACTAAAATATCTGATAAAAACAACTTTGTAGGTTTTTAAGTTTGTTGTGTTTACTGGTCGGGGGTGGGGGAGGGGCTGAGTGCTAAACTAGAGTAAAAAGCGCTATATAAGAAGTAGCCCAATCACACTTTGGTCCTCTTACTGAAATTACTTTGCTTGTTTTACTGTATGTGATAATAATCTGAATTCTAATCCTTTTTTGTTTTTATGTATTTATTTATATTGCTCCAAATGCAATACAAAATTTGGAAGATGCCTGTTTTTAGGGTTTGGCTTGCATTGGAGTTTTTTTTGTTTTTTTTTTACTGACATTGAAGCAACGATTTACAGCCTAGATTGCATCAGCAGTTATTTCACTGAAATGAATCAAAGGCAGGTTTGTGTGAAAAGAAATGTACCTGGGAGTCCAGTAGACACTGGTCAGAGATATGTCGGTTATAAATGCTGCTTGTGCTGCAGACTAACATCAGCAGCACAAACATGAAGCATTGACTATGGAGGGCTTGATGGATGGAAGGGTTGATGGTTGGTACTCCAAGTCAACCAGCAGATGGCGCAAAGTAACATTGATTTGTTGCAGGAAACGAGGCGAGCAGTAAAAGACAGAGTGTACTAAGATAACTTTAATCAGAATTAATATTATACAAGAAGCTTTATATGGCAGTCTGTGCTCATGAGTCATGGAGGCTATAGAGTGCTGTGTTTTAAATTTTGACCACTGTAGTTCACGATCGTCTTACGACCAGCATCAGCAGCCACGCCGATTGGGTCACGTGATCCGCTCAGATCTGCGTCCGTGGACATCTGCAAAATGGAGGTGAGGTTCTGGCAAATGTTGCAAATTAATTACGGTTGTGTGAGACATGCATGGAGACAGTGGCTATTCTGTAGCACGACAGTGCTCAGAGGGTGTATTGTGTTGCATCATAACATGTGGCTGCTCTGTTACTGTAAAGCTGGTCGTTTTAGCTAAGACTGTAGCTAAGCTAATGGTGGTCCAACAAGACTAAACGTACAGCTCTCCGGCTATGGAGCTGGAGAGCAGTATATTGTGTTGGGGTTGGCGCTTTCCCAAATAAATAAATAAACAATCTCGCTGGAGTTTATAAACCAAAGGTAGTTATTAGAGCAAGTGCGTTTTACTTGTTTATGTGTATATTGTTAGTGTTGCTAGAGTACCTGCGTCTGTCTTGAAGCGAGCTAATGCTAGCTGCTAAAGCTAATGCAGCTCAGGCTAACCCAGACTGTACTATGGACACGGACAGGTTAGATGGTATATGCAGCATGTCACGTAATAGAATTCTGTGTATTTTTGTTTTTTAAGTGTTGTGGGGTTGTTGTTTTTTTTAACTGAGTGTGTCGCCTAAGAGTTAATGTCACAGTCTGGTATTAAGGGCTGACACTACAGCTGAACAGCCTAATTTCATAACTGATAAATATTCAAATATTGTTTTCTCTTTGTTTTTGTTTTTGTCTTTTCTATAAATTATATTTTTAGTCTCACTGTGGAGGTAAATTTGTATATATTTGTATATATTTTCCACCATAACAGATGTGTTAGTCTGTAGGTGTTGGTTTAAAACACGAATTACATTTTATTAACAAGAACAATAATTGATGTCTGAAGAAACCTTCAGTAAAACACTTTAATTAATGCTGAAGTTGAAATTTCAGGCTCAGAGTACGAAGAAACCACCTGTTGTGAAAAGCTGCCATATAAAAATATTGATTGCAGAATCCCATACATTTCATCTGGCCATTTATGCTTAAGAAAATAAAAATAACCATAGGAAATTTCCTTAATCCGTTACATACATCAATATAGTTTTTTATGTATCTCTGTTTTACTGAATTGTTATATTTGATGTCTTTTTTAATAAATTTGTATGTTTTTTCCAAGACACAACGTTGTTTAAACAAAGAGGGACATTTTGCTGATTTAAAAAAGAAAGAAAGAGAAAGTGTCTGAAACACAATTCTTGTGTGTAATGTCTTACTTTAGGGTTATTAGTACAACGTAGTAACAACTTCTTACGTGTAGGGTCATTTCACAGTTAGTTTTGTGATGCATCTTTAACCAGGTGGTGTGTTTGCCCCTTTTTTTTTTTTTTTTTTATAGGACCGTGGCGCTAAAGAGCCTGAGCAGCTCAGAAAGCTGTTCATTGGAGGTCTGAGCTTTGAAACTACGGAGGAGAGTTTACGGACCCATTTTGAACAATGGGGTACCCTTACAGATTGTGTGGTTTGTATTTTTCTCATGGGCTAGTTTTAAAGTGATTTCAAATACAGGTGACAACGTGTAAATGTAATAGCACACCACTTGAACTGTACCTGTTAAACCTGTTTTGTCCCTAGGTAATGAGAGATCCTAACAGCAAACGATCAAGAGGGTTTGGCTTTGTAACATACTCGTCTGTAAGGGAAGTCGATGATGCCATGAAAGCAAGACCTCATAAAGTAGATGGCCGAGTTGTAGAGCCCAAGAGGGCTGTGTCCCGAGAGGTAAAATAAAGGAAGAAATTAATAAATCCCAGACCAGAGCACAGTTACTACAGATATGTTATTGTTTGGTGTGTACTTACTAATGCACTCCACTTTAGGACTCCAATAAACCAGGCGCCCATCTGACAGTGAAGAAGATCTTTGTTGGTGGCATCAAGGAAGATACTGAGGAGTACCACATTCGCGAGTATTTTGAGAAATATGGAAAGATCGAATGCATTGACATCATGGAGGAACGCTCCACAGGGAAGAAGAGAGGATTCTGCTTTGTCACTTTTGATGACCATGATACTGTAGACAAAATTGTTGGTATGGGCTCATTCAGATTTCAGAGTTAGCCAAACTGTTAGTAAACAGAAAGCAGTGAATAAACATGTAATGTTTTTCCTATTTTCCTTGAAGCCCAGAAATTCCACACAATCAACTTCCACAATTGTGAAGTCAGGAAAGCTCTGTCAAAACAGGAAATGAGTGCTATATCCAATAACAGGGGTAAGCATGCAATCAAAGAAAGATTAAAATTAGACTTACTGATTTGGCATGTACAGTATGCAGTTCATGTCATAAAAATCTTTAAAATTATACCTTTCTTTAAATAGGCAGGAGCGGGGGATCGGGAAATTTCATGGGCAGAGGTGGTAATTTTGGAGGCGGCGGCAACTTTGGCAGAGGTGGGTAGTTTGCATGTCAAGTCAAAGCACTTCTGGCCTTAAGCACATTAATTTGAAGTTTAAATTTGGGATGGAAGCACAGAAATAACATCAAAACTTCACAGTACTTGCAAATATTGCATATACGTGTGTTCTGTGTGTCAGTACGAGTGTCTTTGTGTGGATGTCTATATCAAAGTGTACTGTGTATTTATGAATTGATCAATATAAAAGACCATTTGCTCTCAAATTCTGGTGCCTATGCTAATATAAACCTACCATCAGTAGTCTTCAGTAGATTACTGCATGTAAAAAGACCGTTTCAAATTAAGGTTTGCTATGTGAGCAGAAGTAATATAATTTCTTTTAATTAAGGCATTCGGTTTTAGATAATAGGAGTCTAAAACTATGTTTAGAATCAGAATCGCGTTTATTGGCCAAGTATATGCATTGTGTCTAGCATTGTGACAGTTCAACTGTTTGGGAGGGAGATGGCAAGGGGAAAAAACAGTTTCTGTGTCGGGTGGTCCTGGTCTGCAGGCTTCTATACATTTGGCAGCAGGTCAGGGTCGGTGTCCAGGGTGTGAGGGGTCTGTGATGTTGATTGGGATCATTATAATATGTGATTCTTCTTGGTAATCTCTTTATCTTGTTTTTTAGGTGGCTATGGTGGAGGACGGGGTGGATATGGGGATGATTTTGACAATGGTGAGCCGTTTTTCAAAGGTTTTGCCTTTTAATGAGTTTAAACTATAGCAGGTGCACTGATTTAGGGGTCAAAAGTCACTAAGGTGGTTATTTTAATGGGTTTAAAAGTCATGCTTACACAACTGGTGTGTCTGTAGAATACTCTTTGCAGTAGTGCCATGTTATAACAGTTTGTCTGTGTTATAGAAAAAAAATCATTTATTTTTAATTTTTATTTTGTTTCTTAATTAAATAATAGGTCCAGGAGGAAATTATGGTGGCGGACCAGGTTATGGAGGTGGCCGAGGGGGCTACGGAGGTGGAGGTCCTGGGTATGGCAACCAGGGTGGAGGATTTGGTGGCAACTGTGACGGAGGCTATGGAGGTAATGGTGGAGGTAAAAGTTTTATTTCCTACAGAATTTTGATTGAATTGCCCGCGGGATGTGAATAGCGGAGGTGTGTGCGAGATAGTTGAAACCAAAGCTTTCCTTAAAATTGACCTGCATCTTCAGGATATGGAGGTGGTGGAAATTACAATGACTTTGGAAACTATGGTGGTCAGCAGTCAAACTATGGGCCCATGAAGGGAAACAGCTTTGGAGGCAGGAACTCAGGTGGACCCTATGGCGGTAAGTTTCACCCTGCAGTTTCTCGTAGTACCTTCAGACTTCAAGTCTGAGTAACAGCATCGTAATTTTGCGACTGCAGGTGGATACGGCTCCGGTGGTGGCAGCGGCGGCTACGGCTCTCGGCGATATTAATTATTTAATGTTGTGGTAAGTTGCATTCAGCTTCACACCGCCCTCGTAGCACAGTACAGAGTGAGCCCATAAAAAGTGCAGAATAACTATTTGTTCTATCCTGTATCCATTCAACAGGCTTCAGTTCTTAGCAGCAGAGGCGAGGAGGTGAGCAAAGGAATTGTCAGGAAAGCTGCAGGTTACTTTGAGGCAGTCATCTGAAAGCATTAGAGGAACACACAAGTCAGAAATTACTGCAGCTAAATCGGAGAAGTTTATGGAAGAAGGACTGTATACAAGACATGAGTGCAGATGATACTCTACCCTAATTGTGATAGATGTTTCCCTACTGAGCAATTTTTCCTTCTGTGCGTCTGAAGTGTGTGTGTATTGTGCCTGTGGTATCAGGGATAAAGAGTAAAGTGTTTTGGGGTTGCTATGTTTTTTTTGTTTTTTTAATCTGAAGTCAGTTCTAAATATCTTTATTTTTCTTTTTTATATGGGTAAGTTTTCTGCTGGCCAATTAACCTTTGTCTTTTAACCTGGTTTTTGTCACATAGAATAATAATTTTAGGTCCTTAGATAAGATAGCTTTATACATTCATTCTAAAGTTATTATGATTTCACAATTGCAAGTGTCAAGTGTATTTTTTGATTTTGTATGTAAAGCTCAGTGTGTAAATCCCTCGTAGTACCAGTGTCAACAATTACAAGCAGTCTGGAGTAGAATTAAGGGAATCCCTCACTCTTCTTGTTCCCAGCAAACCGAATTATAGATTGTTCAAATATTTTGATTAGTTGAAAAAGACCGAATAAAATTGTGTAGTAAAGTAACATGAGGTTCAGTGCATCTTTGGTTCAGAAAAAGATGAAATGAGTTATTAATATATCTGTTGCTTGCTTATTGTGACTGAAGTGTAGCAAATCAGCTGGTCCACAACTTTCCCATCTGGTGGAGTATTATTTAGGAGCTCTGTGACGTGAAAATAGTGTATGCGTGTTGCATTCATGTACTTGTACCAGGGTCAATATAAAGGGAGTTTTGGGTAGTCCTAGTGAAGGGCCCAGACACCACTTACGCAAGTAGGATAACAGCTACAAGCACCAGCATTTTGGGCTTCAGCGTCACTAGTGTGGAAGATTTGCAGATGACTGTCAGACAGGACGTCTTCAGCCCCAGCACAGTGGACCAGTCAGCAGTTTGAGAGAGAAGGGAGAAGGCAGCATCGAGCACAACGCCCATGGAGGAAGCTTGCAGTGTCGTGCCTGATAGTGAGCATCTATCTTTTTTTCAAGACTAGCTAAACTCTCCAGCAGCCCGTGCTAGTGAAGAAAGACTAGGACACACTGGAGGTCCTGTTGAGTCAGAGATACCGCAGTTTTACCCGCAAATACTAGAACTCAGACATTAAGAAGAAAAGGGAATGAGTATTTCACAAAGCTGACTTGAGAAGATGGAACAGGTAAGAGTAACCATTTTGCTTGATTTACAGATGTGGAAAGAGGAATTCTCTTCTTGCTGAAAATCTGTAAAGACCTGATAACATGGAAGGTTCTGGATGGGTAAGACTTTTTTTTTTTTTTTTTTTTTTAAATATTGTCCAAGCCTGCTCATATTTCAATCTAATGCTGATTACACAAGGTGCAAAACACAGGGTGTTTTAAGATAAACAAAGCAGGTTGACCTTCAGTATTTGTCTACTTTGAGCAGAATCAGCATGTGCCCTTCACCCCACTGCTCGGTACGCTTTGAAGCCAAATACTCTTTATGCTTATCATCAGTATATATTAAAGCTCAAATAAAGGTGGTGGTGATTGAACACTTGAAACAGAAAGATTATCATCCATTCCAAGAAAGGAAATTAAGAAAGTTTTATAAGGAACTACTTTCAGTTGCTCCCCTACTTCAGAGGGTAGGTCTGCATATTTCATTTGACCAAATCCTACACCCAATGCCCTTCTTGGCACAACCCTCCAAGGGATTTGTATCTCCTTCCAGGATCAAACTGAGTAAATGTGTAAACCACTACACAAGGAGCTCCCATTTTTAGTTTTATCATGTATCAAACAATCCTAATCCCAAAAGGTGCAAAGTCAGAAAAATCAACAGTTATAATATTACAGTATCAATTCACACAGTATAAACTGTGACTTATTAAATAAGCACTTTAAACTGGAGGCTGAGGCTCTCTAGAAAGCTAACATTTTTAAAAAGAAATGTAACCAATTTTTTAAAAGAATTGTTTAAAAAAAAACTATCAGCAGGGGTCACAGGCACGTATAGCATTAAATGTGAGTATACTCAAATATTGGTGTAATAGATGAAAGCATAGTATTTTTCCATTACAGGCCATTTACAAAGTGCTTCCATTTGTTTCAGCTCTCAGAGTAGCCAAGTAAGCCAGCAAATTGAGGGACTTTTTGTAAAGTTTCCATAATCATGACAAGTCCTCCTACGGCACATATACCGTGTAGTTTTTAGAAGTGATGAATGATCTTTCATCAAATGCATAAAAATAAACTTGACATTTAATTATTTTTTTAACTTATTTCTGATTTATATGTATTCATGTTTGTGATACTTTGGTCGTGTTGCGACTAGGTGGACAAAGTTTAGGTGTCAAATGTTTTGATTCCACATACTTTATGTCTAGACTGCTCAGTATAAAAAACAAAAACGGTGCCCACTGTTATCCTGTCTCTCCCAGGATATTATCTTTGCAAAGGCATGTAAAATAACCAGCCTCATGTCAGGAGAGACAAAGAGCGAGTCAACGAAGGAAAGAAAAGAAAAACTTATTTGTTAAGGGCACACCAGTGAACCATTTTGTCTGCTAAGCAGAATATGTAACGTTTGACTTATGTGTTTGAATAAAGGGATTTTTCATGATATGAGTGTTTTATTTCTTAAACTGTTTCTTTATTCCTCAGAGTAAATGTTATCAGAGCATTTTATTATTTGATTAACGTGTGTCCTTGGAATTTTTTTTTTTTAACTCTACCCTCCAGTTTTGTTTGCCACGTGCAGAAAACAGGCTTGACAACCAAAGGGGAGAGTCTGTGTGTGAAAGTGCATGGCGTGGGGGCACATTGATTGCAACAGGCTTTGCCTTTGAATGCACTTTCCCGTTGGAGTATTGTGGACTTGTCATTCATGTTTAGCGCTGAGCATACTCGACTGTACCTTGACAATTGTGCCCTTTGTACCGCGTCATAAAGAATGCTGTGGGTGTGAGTTATTTTACCAGGAGTTTTAATAGAATAAAAAGATTTGGGTTACTGTACAAACAAGCTCGCTCCTATACAAGTTGAGCAGATTGTGAAAGCATTTCAATCCAGTGACGTCTTTGTGTCTTTACAAAATTCTATTCATTTGCTGCGCTGTAAGCACTTTAGCAAAGCATTCATGTCAGGAACGGTCTTGAACATGTGGTAGGTTATGCAATAGTATCTTAAAACTACATATCCATCTGGCACCAATCTGTTGTGGGCTGTGGCTGCAGCATAGCACGCAATATTGTTTTCAGTCAGCGGGAGGCTAAGTAGCTATATGAATAGTTTATTTCAAAGCACAGAAATCAGAATAAAAAAGGGGAGCAAATCATAAGGATAAAGTTATAAAATAAGTAACTGATTGAAATAGTCATTAGCATACAGAAATATAATATATATACAATATATATGTACAAACACAGTAACTTTTTTTAATCAATCTCAGTGCTTATATTTACAAACTATTGGTTAAAGAATCTGTGAAGGTGTCGGAGTACAAAAGAAGTAAAATATAAAAAAATAGTAGAACATTCAAGAGAAGCAAAAACTATACAATAGTTCTGCTGAGCTATTAACGCTTAAAGCTGAGCAACTACAAAGTTATTGCATAGTATAGTATACTATAATAATGAAGTACCATATTACAAAGGAGATCAGTGTCTGTCGTCACTTTTAAAAGTCTTTTTAATGCGGGGAACGAGAAAGACGCTGCCATCCGTTGACTGCTGAAGGGAGTACTCTGATGGGGAGTAGGAATTTCCCTTCTCATCTCTCAACATGCCAAAGACCTCCAGGTACAAGTTGTTGAGCTGCCACTTCATTTCCTTCAGGTCTGTCATGTTCTTGCTCTTCTCACTCAGCAGGCGCTCTTTTTCTTCCTTCAGCGAGTCCAGCTCACTCTCCAAACCCACTATGTTCTCCATCTTGCGTTTACGGCAGTTCTGGGCTGCCACCTTGTTCTTTCCGCGGCGGCGTATGTCGCGGACCAGGGCCAGCTGGGCCTCGTTCAGTTGGTGTTTTGACATCATCTCATTAAAATCATCAACGGGGAGGTTGATAATCATGTCAACGGTAAAGGGGATTTTGAGCGCCTTGGCTCTCTGTTCGTCTCTGGAGAGACGCACATTAGAGCGTTTCTTCGCTTTATCTTTGGTGAAGGGGGCGTTCTTGTGGCTGCTCTCTTCTCCTGGGTCCACCTTATGTTTGGGATTCTTCTCGTGCTCGTTTGGTTGCTGAGATGGTATAGATACGGAAATTGCTGAGTGTGCGTCATCTGGTTGGAAATTTAATGAAAACATCTCAGAGTAGTCAGATTCTGCGCTGCCAGGGTTCTGGTCCATCTCCTCCATGTCCGAGTCGCTGCATCTAAAGGACTCGCTTCCATATGCAGATTTTGCAGGACTTGCATTTGTAGAGATCCCCGAATCTGAGTCTGGCTGTTCTGTTATTAGATTTTGCTTGCTTCTGTCAAAGGCATCTCCGGGTGAGAGGCTGTACAAATCCATGGGAGTGAAGGGGGCCTCGTTCGGGACATCGGACATGGCAGCACTTTCATTTCCTTCGAGCTCATGCTGACCACTGCTCTCTTCCAATATAGTGTTCTGATAAAATATGTTACAGAAACTTTCTGCGCATAAATTGGCATTTAATTGAGAGGTTTTTACTTTTATCGGGCTGAGGCCATCAGCTGGAGCCATGCTGGGAACGGAGCTGTCAAATGTGTTCATAAACTCTGTGGGATCGACATTTAAACTGTTTGCTTTCTCATCTGTCATGGGGTAAAAAGAGTAGTTTGGATTCTGTATTTCAGGGCTGTCTTGAAGGGGATAGGTTGTGGTCTCCAGTGTGTCCTCCATTTGCATGTTGAGGCATTCCTACAAAAAAAAATTACAATTTTAAAATAAATGCACTCATTTTAAGTACGGCTTAAAAAAATTCTCAACATTTATGTGTGGTAGGATATTAAAAAGCCTACAAAAAAAGACTTATCACACATTCAAAACTGAATGACTGTTATTAAGTGGTTTCATTGTTGAAATATTGAAACCTAAGATTAGTATGTTTTATAAGTATAATTTTACTCTATTAAATTTCTCCTTCTTAATCTGTTATCATCACTAAACAGGGTTTCAGCTAACAAAGTCTGAACCATTGAGCTGTTCAGTTGTTGCAGCTCCCTGTGCTCCACTGAATGCCGGTAGAGCTGGTTTTAGCACAAGATTGCCTACTGTGATTAACAAAACTATCCAGTTGTTGAAATGTCGGAACTTCCTACTGCTGTAAACAGAATATCTTATCTTCATGAAGCAGCTTTTACAAGTTTGAGCACAATTCCACTCAGCTTTCATGTCTACACTTTTAGTATCATCACCAACTAACTAGATTAGTCCTGCCAATTCTATTTTGTGGTTACAACCGCAGCCCAGTCCACTCAGTCAAAGGTCGAGGCAACTAATGGTGCAATGCTCCACCCACCAGCTAATGCAAATATGAGGTGCCTTGAAACCGAGCTGATAAAGCAGCTAATGAAAATGACTTCACCTTTCTGCTACTAAGCAAAGATTTGAAGACACACCTGATCTGAGCAAGCTATCTTTTGGCTCTGCGCAAAAATGTTAGTGGCTATTAATCATATGAATTATATAACCCCTGAGCAACCATGCTTCTAATGCTGTAAAATGTCTAGATGATGAAAGTTAGTCGGAGTGGAATTAGCAGTGTGCACTGGATTCCTAAAGAAAACAACAACTGTTTGTCTTCTAATGTCAAGCTCCTGCCATTTATCCATTTTTTTTCTTTTTGTATTTGTTCCACCACACGAAATGCCATGTCGCTGAGTTCGTAGAATCTCTGTGTCATACCTGCAGCTCGGGGAGGGACAGAATCTCCATCCAGGCCTCCTCCAAATCTGGGGGCATTCCCTGTGGTGCTGGTGGTGGCAGCTGTCCTGGGGAGAGGGTGGCAGGTGATGGAGCTGGTTGTTCGGGGGACATCATCATGTTGCTGCTGATGGCTGCTGAGACAGCAGGTGTGTCCAGACAAACTGAAGTGTTCTAGGAGACAAAACAGATATGACAGTTTTTATACAGCTAAAAACGATGCCCAACAATCACGCGGTTCATTTCTGTTAATTTCTGATCAATGTTCTTACCTCAGTTTCTTCTACAGGAAACGTCTCTGCCAGTAGCTGCAAACATTCATCGAATGACATGTTGTCACTTGTTTCTGTGAAACTGGCATTCTGCAACAGAAGTTAAAATACCTTGTGTTACTTTTTACCATCTAGCATCTACCAGCTTTTTGGCACACCATGTTTTAACAGCAGCACATGATTGTGTATTTATAGCGCTCAGGTCCCTGCAGAGCACTGATGCAAAACTGAAGTCCAACCTGCGCTGCTGCATTTACACAGGATGAGGTGGTAACCTAGCTACAACACAGCCAGAGCCTATAAAATGAGGTGGGAGGGGTGTACCTTTGACATGAGTAATGATGGAGCGTGTATGTACCTGTGTACCTACCTCTAGAGGTGTGACGGCAGGCTGCAGCGGGGCTCGAGGTATGTATTCTCCCGTCTCCTCATCTAGCTGTAGCTGTGCCAGCAGGGCCTTCTCCTGCTCCCGGAGCAAATGCAGCTTCTTCTCCTCCTCCAGCTCCCGCTGCCTCTGGAGCTCATGCTCTTTCTGACGGTGGTTGTAGTCAAACACTTCACGCCTGGCACCAAGATCAATGTCTTGCTTCCACAGTATGTCAATCAGGTCCATGTCCTAGAAAGACAGCCGCAGATCGGTTAACAGAGTTTGCAAGCAGCCATGCTGTCCTGCATAGGAGTGTTCTGAGCATCGCAGCCAAACAGAACGTCCCTGCTGCGAAGCTTGACTGTTGCACCTGCCACACCCTGTCCCTCAGTATCTGATCACCGACAACAACACAGGCACTAATGTCAAGGGACAGAAACTGCATGAATAATGAACGCATTTCTCTCCTTCCTCTGTTGTCACCACACACCAGCAAAAGACACATATCCTCATTTGATACTTTTTCCAGTGAAGGGAAGTAGTCACTGCTTATCCAGTTACGCAGAAGTGTGAATTTGTTTGGCGTATTCAGACTCCCACACAGCCAGGGATCGTTTTTTAGCGAGTACTTAAAGTTCAGATTTAAAGGATGGTTCCAAACTAGTTTAGAAGTTAAATCATATTACACCATTTAGAAAATGTGGCCATAGTATACAGTATTATGGTTGGTGAAGAACATATGAGCGAAGAACATATAAACATATAAACAAAGTAAAATTGGCACTGTAATTCGTCAATTATGATTATGCGGTAAATGTATAATAGTGTTGCATTTACATATGTCTATTTGGCAACAGCTACATTGATGCCAACCTATAGCTGCAGTTCTTTGAAGGTGCTCAGGTTACGGCAAAGACTACAGCGTAAGGTCTCAGAAAGGTTTGTGTTACAATGTACCTTTGTACCTAATCACACTATGAGGTCATAATGTCATACTGAGTGAAATTAAAATGCTTATTTCCTCAATTTCACCCTCACTAGGTATTTAAGTCAACTATTACAAGTACTACTAAATTATCTTAGCACAATAATAGTCTTG